CCAGATACCCAGGAAAGAATTTTCAGTAGTAACTCAGATCCCACCCCATCTAACATCCCATCACAGGCCACTGGGCCTATTTACCATGAATATTTAAAGATCAATTAATCACCAAAATCATGTTATCCCATCATACCATCTCCTCCATAAACTTATCGAGTCTAATCTTAAAGCCAGATAGGTCTTTTGCCCCCACTGCTTCCCTTGGAAGGCTATTCCAAAACTTCACTCCTCTGATGGTTAGAAACCTTTGTCAAATTTCAAGTCTAAACTTCCCAATGACCAGTTTATATCCATTTGTTCTTGTGTCCACACTGGTACTGAGCTTAAATAATTCCTCTCCCTCTCTTGTATTTATCCCTCTGATATATTTATAGAGAGCAATCATATCTCCCCTCAACCTTCTTTTAGTTAGGCTAAACAAGCCAAGCTCCTTGGTGAGGAGAGGCTGACTGGCCCGTAGTTCCCCAGATCCTCCTTCTTCCCTTTTTTAAAGATGGACACTACATTAGCCTTTTTCCAGTCGTCCAGGACCTCCCCCAATCGCCATGAGTTTTCAAAGATAATGGCCAATGGCTCTGCAATCACACCTGCCAACTCCTTTAGCACTCTCGGATGCAGCGCATCCGGCCCCATAGACTTGTGCTCGTCCAGCTTTTCTAAATAGTCCAAAACCACTTCTTTCTCCACACAGGGCTGGTCACCTCCTCGCCATGCTGTGCTGCCCAGTGCAGTAGTCTGGGAGCTGACCTTGTTCGTGAAGACAGAGGCAAAAAAAGCATAGAGTACATTAGCTTTTTCCACATCCTCTGTCACTAGGTTGCCTCCCTCCTTCAGTAAGGGGCCCACACTTTCCTTGACTTTCTTCTTGTTGCTAACATACCTGAAGGAACCCTTCTTGTTACTCTTAACATCTCTTGCTAGCTGCAACTCCAGGTGTGATTTGGCCTTCCTGATTTCACTCCTGCATGCCTGAGCAATATTTTTATACTCCTCCCTGGTCATTTGTCCAATCTTCCACTTCTCGTAAGCTTCTTTTTTGTGTTTAAGATCAGCAAGAATTTCACTGTTAAGCCAAGCTGGTCGCCTGCCTTATTTACTATTCTTTTTACAAATCAGGATGGTTTGTTCCTGTAACCTCAATAAAGATTCTTTAAAATACAGCCAGCTCTCCTGGACTCCTTTCCCCCTCATGTTATTCTCCCAGGGGATCCTGCCCATCAGTTCCCTGAGGGAGTCAAAGTCTGCTTTTCTGAAGTCCAGGGTCCATATTCTGCTCCTCTCCTTTCTTCCTTGTGTCAGGATCCTGAACTTGACCATCTCATGGTCACTGCCTCCCAGGTTCCCATCCACTTTTGCTTCCCCTACTAATTCTTCCTGGTTTGTGAGCAGTAGGTCAAGAAGCTCTGCCCCTAGTTGGTTCCTCCAGCACTCGCACCAGGAAATTGTCCCCTACACTTTCCAAAAACTTCTTGGATTGTCTGTGCACCGCTGTATTGCTCTTCCAGCAGATATCAGGGTGATTGAAGTCTCCCATGAGAACCAGGGCCTGTGATCTAGTAACTTCACGCTGGAAGAAAGCCTGTCCACCTCATCCCCCTGGTCCGGTGGTCTAGAGCAGACTCCCACCACAACATCACCCTTGTTGCTCACACTTCTAAACTTAATCCAGAGACTCTCAGGTTTTTCTGCAGTTTCATACCGGACACTCTTAACTGTCAAATTAAATCTGCAGCTTGTGGATTCATTTTTAACTCTCTTCATTGTTCCTGAATCACATGTGGATTATTAGTTACTAGGTAAACCCAATTCCCATTGGCAAAACTATAGTTATCTAATGCATGGGATGGTGTACTTTTTCAGCTCACTGCACTCAGATTCCATCTCCTGTCTAATCTCAACTACTGCTGAGATGTGGAAGATGGAGCTACACCATATGATGAAAGGAAACATCTAGCTTTAAACTCTTATTCCGGTACTTTTACCTTTGCAGATCTACATATCTCCATCCCCTCTCCCTGTCACCCCACATATATGGGATCAGTCCAGTAATTTTTTTGAATGACTTCTCTAGCCCTGATACAGCAAAACAAATAAATGCTTAGCTTTACACATATGAGTAATCCCATTGACTTCAGTGGGATTACTCATATGCTTAAGGGCTTTTCAGGATCATAGAAGGTTAAGGTTGGAAGGGACCTCAGGAGGTCATCTAGTCTAACCCCCTGCTTGAAGCAGGACCAATCCCCAATTTTTGCCCCAGATCCGTAAATGGCTCCCTCAAGGATTGAACTCACAACCCTGGGTTTAGCAGGCCAATGCTCAAACCACGGAGCTATCCCTCCCCCAAGATCAGGGCTGGTATGCACAGGATCAAATCCATATAGTGATTAGGTCCCTACTAAGGCCAGCCCATCTGTTTCTGTGCTCTCTGAAATTTATCAAGAAAGAAAGAAAGAATCTGGTTAGCGTTGTTTTAACTACAGCATGCCATTCTAGCACAAGCTCAAAGACTGGTGCACGACAGAAAACAATCTTGCAGTTTTTACACAGCCAGAACTTTCCTGGGCCAGGTCCTCAAGTTGGAGTAAATCAGCATAAGTCCATTAATTTTAATGGCAAAACATCAGTATACACCCACTGAGGATGTGGGCTTTTTGACTTCAAAAGGAGCTTTAAGCCTAAATTAGGACCCCAGAATCAGGCTTAGTACAGGATCCGTATCAGAAACCATACTTGAAGAACAGAAGTTACAAGTGGAAAATTTGTATTTATGTTGGTTCAGCTGCACCCACAGTTGTGGGTGAATGGGGGTGAGATTGTCGCTGAGAGTTTCTATCAATAGGAATCGGAACACACCAGCTTAGGTGCCCTAGTTCAGGTAAATGTGTAAGTGTGTGCATTAAGTATGTGACTAATCCCTTCCTGTTCAGCAAAGCATTTAGGCACATACTCAAAAGTTAAAAAAGAAAAACCAAGGGGAAAAAATGTAACCACATATTTCCGTACTCTACCCCCAAAACCACCCTGTCAAAAAAAGACTGTTTGCACAAATAAGCGAATTATTAATGTACATGGTTATCATTTAGGTTTTCACTTTTGGTACCAGTTTTTATGATATCATGTGGGTATGTTTTTAAAGGGACTCTGTCAGGCAGGTTGGGCCCAAAATCTAGGATATTAGTAGGAAAGTTTTATTTTAAAAAAATTAAATAAGCCTGGAGGAGAATTTAAATATTCCCCTGCACTATTTGCAATCCAAGTATTGCAGAATTGTACTAAAGCATGAGAATCGGAAAGTGAAATTGACTGGACAGTGACTGGTTCACTGACCAAACTGAGTGAAATGCACAAGTAAACAATCATATAATATGGTAAAAAGTACATTTAAATTTTTAAAGTTCTTTCACTATTACTAGTAACATAAGGAAGGAAAAGTTTTTCAAAAATATAAATTTTAAACTGACAGTGTCCCTTCAATGCGCGTGTTAATTTTAAAGCTAAAACCTTTGGGCTACATCCTAAAATGGTATAAATTAGTTCAAAAGAGACAAATGAGTTTGGTGGAGCTACACCAATTTATACCAGCTGAGGATTTGGCCCACTGTTTATAAGACTCAACGACTAAAAAGGAAAATAGCAGATTTTACCGACTCTAGTATTAATGTGTGTTATCACTGATTTTACTGAAATGTATTTAGCTTTATCATGAATTAAAACTAATTTCTTCACTGTATTGTTAACTCAAAACTTTACTAATAAAGAGCATATCCTTTGCTTGGCAAAAATGCTTTTTAGCATGCTATTTACATTGTTTATTAATTTCTTTTTCATTTCTGTTAATAGGAAAAAGAGTAGGTTAAATGAATGGGTCATTTAATGTTATTCCATATGTTTCATTTTGATCAGTGCTAAGCAGTCCTTCATTCTCACTGAGAAAGGATCCACTAGTAATAAAGTATTGTACTCTATCGCTGATATAACAGCATAAGTGATGCATCTCCTTAAAAGCATGCTCTTGTTAAATGAAGGAAGAGTCTCTCGTACAATATAACAAATGGCAAGTCATAAATCCAAATGACACACAAAACACTTGAGAAAAATTTGAGCAGCAAGAGCCCAAACCCAATTTCTACTCAAGTTAATTACTGACCGGGTGGTAAATTGCTACATTCTCTGTAACTCCTGTCTAAACTTCAGTGATCATCTCTTTATTGGAAATGGTACATATGGAAATATGGAAGTATAGTGCTCTAATAAAGTAGAATTTAAATCATACAAGTTGGGCAGAAAACGTTTAACAGACTTTCCATGTATTGCAATTCCATCCCATACCATTTTATTTCATAGCTATATACTAACAATGTCAGACATACCCACACAATTATATCTTTTCCTGATGTTCAGGACTAGCCTGAATCGTCAGACTTATATAATCTTTCCAAGGGTCTGAGGCTACAAAATTATTACTGGTATTGACTGGTAAACCGTTCAGCATGGTGATTGTATGTTAGCTTCTGAAACTGCAGCTGTATGCTTCAGCAATGAAGGTTTCTTTTTATTTTGAAACATACCATGCAATATTAAAGATAATGCTATAGAATTATCTTAGAAAGTTCCTAGAAAGGTAAGTAAATCCTTATATTTCTTAATACCTGTCAGTTAGTTTGGAGGATCCTCTAAAGTCATTTTAGAAGATCTTTCCTGTAGAAAAGCCTGCACTCCAACACTTTTTGCCTAGCTCACTTCACATAGATACTCCTAAACATTTTCCACTCCTCCCTGTTCTATGACTCCCTTTGATGTAACCTTCCTACATCTTCCTTGGCTGGTTTAACTACCTTTATGAGTCACCTTTCATAAAGGTAGTTGGCTCCCTGCTTTTTTTTTTTTAACCTTCTTTGGCTTCTGCTGAAAGACGATCTATCCCTCGCACCTTCCTTTTTATTAAAGTTTGCAGTGAATTAATGGAAAATGCCAACATTTTGAACTTTTTGCAGATATGACTATGGATGATGTTCGAGAATTCGAGAAAAATATGCATGAAAAAACCAACATTAAAGTTTGCAATCAACATTCATCTACTGTGGATGAAATAGAGAGCCATGCAAAATCAAGTGTATGTAGTTTTTTAAAACATATTGCCCACCCTCGCCTACTCACAACTCAAAGAAGAATGGCCCTTTTTAAGCATGATCCTGCTGCTCCTGAAGTTAACGGGAGGTTTGACATTCAGTGGAATCAGAATCACTCCCAGTAAAGTGTAATCCTGCATTTTTTGCATCCCAAACTCCCACTGAGCTAGTAGAGGATAGGGTCAAGTTCATAACTCCCCGTCTTCCAGGAGAACAAAATCCTCAAACTTCTGTTGGGTACACAAAGAGGAATTTTAGTAGAAGCAAGATCAAGCAATGTCAGGTTTGGCATCCAGTTATTCTGATTGTTTCAAAGCCATGTCAGTGTTCAAGTGTCATTTGTCAAACAGCCAGGAACCTGGGGAGTGGAAAAGTTCTATGGGGCTGCTGAAATTGTACCACTGAGAAAAAGGCTAACTGGGTTTTTCACTTGTCTTCAAGATCATTTGCAGTGTTGCCCTTGATAAGCTACAAACTAGGAGCCTGAAAGGAGATACAGTGACATTTCAGTTTTAAAATGTTGGTATTTCTGGCATCTCTAGTCAGGCCAAAATCCCATGGGAGTGAATGACGGCTTTGCCCAAATAACGATGTCGGGGCTAGTCCTTAAGGGCTATATCCTGAAGTCCTAACTCAGTCATTATTCAATCAAAGCTTCCAATGACTTCAGAAGGACTTTCTCTCAGTAAACAGTGAGGGCCTGATTCTTACACCAAATTTGCGCAGGTGCAACTCTAGATTTAAGCTGGTGAATTCCCATTGACTTTTTCAGAGTTATTCCTGATGCCTACACCAGTAAGCGAGATTAGAATCAGGCTCAGACTAAAGACCTCAGGATTTGGCCCTATGGGCTTTTGGTAAAAAGCCTGTGGTCCTTATTCAGCCCTTACTTAGGCAAAACTGCCACTATCATCAGGGCAGGATTTGGCCTTTATTAATAAAAAGAAAATGACAGAATGGAGTCACGTATTTCTGAGTCCTTTGCAGTTCTGGGTCAGGATTAGTTTTACTTGAGTGCACATCAGCATGGGGTAGGGCAACCAGATGTCCTGATTTTATAGGGACAGTACCAATATTCAGGGCTTTGTCTTATATAGGTGCCTATTACCCCCACTCCCGTCCCAATTTTTCACACTTGCTATCTGGTCACCCTAGCATGGGCATGAATTTGAGGCAAGCATAGACTAAAAACCAAATATTAAGTTCAGGCAGGGTGAGTGCTCCCTTTCTGCTTCTGAAATTGCCAATATTGGGAGGGGCGCATGGTAGGACTTTCATTGGTCTGCCTTCCACTCTGATGGCATGTTATTGAGGAATCTTCTTCTCTGTATCTCTCCCCATACAGAAGCCATATTTTATTTTATTTTTCATTATTAAAGGCCTGATCCAAAGCACACTGAAGTCAATGAAAGGACGCCTGTTAACTTCAGTGGGCTTTGGATCAGGCCCTAAGTGCAGAAACACTACTTGCAATGTAACATAAGTTAAGCAAAATGTAAATCAGCAAAACAGGGCCAAATTCATCCCTGGTGTAAATGGGTGGGCTCCCTTGAGCTCATCCGCTTACCTCACCCACTTACCTCAGGGGTGAATATGGCTAAAATATCCTCCACTCCCAGTAATAGGAGCTGCCTGTAGACTGAAAAAGCCCCTGGACCAGTAAAGTCGGTTCAGAGGGGAGCAGGCAAATTCGCACTGAATGGGGACTTTGATTATCTTATAGGATGCTACAGTACAGCATAAAGCCTGTTTCACACAACAGCATCAGGAAACATTCTACAGTCAAGGCTACATACACACAACTATGTTACCTTGAAATAAGGGGGTCACAGTGTATAGCTCGTATGTGGTTTTTTTCATTTTAACCAGATGGCATCCAACCATAAGGAGAAAATGAAGTAGCGTAGCTTATATCCCCTCCACTGCAGAAATACAATAAACTTTATTACAACATCCCTGGGTATACCAGAGTGTGTATTTAGCCCCATAGCTCCATCCTCACATGGCTATGAGGACAGTTGTCCTCTCTCCTCCTCCACAGTGTGGGTTTTGAGTATCACATGGCATGTCGTGAATGTGCGGTTGAGCGTATGTCTGCACAGCAGCTGGGAGGTATAGTTCCCAGCTTGGGTAGCTGTACAGGCGCTAGCTCTGCTTGAGCTAGGACGCTAAAGAAAAGTGTGGCCACAACGGCATGGGCAGTGGCTTTGGCCAGCTGCCTGAATACACACCCTGTGGGGTCAGGCGGGATCGTATTATGCACCTAGCCCAAGCCACCGCCCGCGCTGTCACAGCCACCAACTTGCTGTTTTTAGCGCAAGAGCTCAGGCAAAGCTAGCACATGTACTTCTACGTGAGCTAAGAATTACACCGCGCAGCTGCTGTGTGGGCATACCCTTCGCGTGGAGCAGCATAGGAGGCCAGTAGCAGTCAGATAGACATAAATCTTAGCAATGCAAACAAACCCCTCTCCTGAGCTTTCTTTAAATATGCATCCCATGGATCTATCATCACTTATAATATAACCTCCTGCAGAATGTTTATAAGGAAGTTTTACAGTACTTGAAAAATATTTCTTACTGACTACATATGTTATAGTGCTGGGGACTGGAGCTGTGCCAAACTCCGCCAGTTTACAGTTTACAGGAGCTCTGTGTGAGCCTGTTTTCTGTGCTGGTTCTGGTGGGTTTACATCCACTGAGTTTCTTGCTGAGATTCCTTCAAATGAACTCAAAAAAACTCAAAGTGAAACTCATCTGAATTTTGCTTTGAGTTGTAGCAATAAACCCCTGTATGACACTCCAAATGCAATGCAAGGTTTGAAAAAAGATTTGCTTAACTTTTGCTGAACCTGTCCTGAATTCTGAGTTTGTACAGAAAAATTAGATGGGTTACACCTGGCTTAGGAGTTTATTAGAAAATGTTTGTATTGCTATTTGGAACACGTTATTCTGGGCTTACTCTGCCCTCTTGTGGATTTGTACAGTAGTGTCTATGTGACCGATACATTTGCTCACCTCCACATGAGAAGGCTTTCTCTAGTAACAGGGAAGCATTCTTTGGGCCTGATTCTTCATTGCGTTGCACCTTGTGCAATCATTTACACTTGTGCAAAGGAGGTGTGTAATACTACCAATTCTGATCTCATAATTCCACAGGTGTAAACAACTTCACAGAATTCAAAGCAGTGGAGAATGAGGCCTTTTGTGTGGGGAAGACCCTTCTCCACAAGCCCACATTTTCAAAAGTGGCCCTTCATTCTGGGTGCTTTCATTTTTGGATACCCAATTTGAGACACCTAACTCCTGTTGAAAGACATGAAGCACTCTCTTCTGCCTGGGAACTCAATATGCTCTGCGTGCTCAGCACCTCTAAAAATCAGGCCTAATGGTGTGTCAAGCCAGGCACCTAAAATCAGTGACCTCTTATGAAAACTTTGGCCAGAGCTCCTATTAACTCTAGTAGAATTCCAATACATGAATCCCCACCCTGGGGTGAGAATACACCCTTCGGTTTAGATTTTGATGGCAATCACTGCAATGGAGCTATTGAAATCATCTTTGAAATGGTTCTAACTTTCCATTTGTCTTTCTTTTTTTCTCATTAAAGACATGACGATGGATGAAGTCCGAGAATTTGAACGTGCAACTCAGGAAGCCACCAACGAGAAAATTGGGACTTTCCCACCTGCAATATCTATCTCTAATATTTCCCTGCCTTCGTCAACCCGTAGTGCTCCTTCTAGTGCTCCATCCACTCCTCTATCCTCAGATGCTCCTGAATTCCTATCAGTTCCCAAAGACCGACCTCGGAAAAAATCTGCTCCAGAAACCCTCACGCTTCCAGACCCAGAGAAAAAAGCACTTTAAATTTAACCTAGCATGTTTCCTTCTGACAAGCCATGTCTGCCAGAACAAGAGTAACTTAACATTTACAAAGCTCAGTGTGGTTGGTTGTTTGGATTTTTTTAAACGATTTTACCAATCTAGAAAGATGATTTCTTTACTCAGACTTGTTCCCTAAAACCCTTAAATAAGTGCATGTGAGAGAACATAGTTCATATACTCTGATTCCCAAAGTAAAGCTCAAAGCCATATGGCACATGCTATTAATGTGAAATTAAATAGTCTGAGAATAGCCTGCAATTGTGATTGGAAATGCTGAAGGTATTTAATAAAGCTGGCAAGGATTTCTGAAGGGAACTAGTGTCAATTTAGGTGCAGGGTTACGTTAAAAAGGTAAAAATCCAATTTTCTCCTATTATATCGGAATTTCTAAAAATTTTCTACTCAGGCTTATCATGTCTAATCATAAACCTTTGAACTGCTACTTGTCGATACTTGAACACCAACAGCAATTATTCAAATTCAGGTGTTGCTTAATATGACTCAGGATTTGGGGCCTAGCTAACACAAACTTTAAACTTTTTAAAACTAAATAACCAATGCACCAAGGCTCCATTTGTAATTAATAATACTGACTTTAAGGCCACTGAACTATTTATACCTTGCACAGAATTTATAAAAGATTCCACCCATTTCTTGTTTATATTGTATTTTACTAGTTCTCCCCAGTCCTCTTGTGATCTCTCAAGTATGTGCTGGTGTTTGTAACCCCTGCTCCAGGTATAAAAAAGATGGAAACACAAGCCGCTAAATAGTTTAAAGAGTCCAAATAATGCAAGGGTCTTCTCCCAATGAAGCTGTCATCATAGCATTCCTGTCATTCATTTAAGTCCTCTGAACTCCTGGCTAATTACAATGAAACCAGCTTTCAGGGTCTGATACAAATCCCATTGAAGCCAGTGGGAAGACTCCCATTGCCTTCAGTGGGCTTTGGCTCAGGCCCTAAATAACCACTCGAGGGATTGTAAAAAAATCTGGAGCTCAATGAGGGAGGTCTTCTACTAAAGGTGGGGAAGAATGGTACTTAGTACATTTGTGGATACTTTAGGACAGTCTCTTAAGACAGGTGGGTGCCTAATAAGGGTAGCCTCCTGTACAGATTTCACTGTACTAATTAGTGCTGAATGTATATTATGCTATGGTGTTTTACCAGATGCAGAATAGTTGTTGTTTGAGCATGGATACTGAATAACTAGGCCATGATGCTTTGGAACAGCACCTGGGAGTAAAGATTCTGAAAATGAACATTTTTTATATGTCCACCATTGGAAAGTTCTTTAAAGATCTTCAGCCACAACCTTTGCTCTGCCCTGATGTGTTACATATTCAGATTCAATTTCAGATCCCAGTCTAGGTTTCTTGCTTCATGGGCTAATGGGATAATAATGTTGTAGAGGCAGCATATTCAGCCCTCAAACAAAAAGAAGTCATTCAACAGTGGCCACTTTAGCCAATTAAGGAGCAGATTTGATGAATTCCATCCTGTCCTCACTGGACAGAAAAATTGTGATTGTGATAGGAGACCTCATAGGTGATGAGGGGGGAAATATGGGGATCTTCTGGGCTTCCTGACGGAGAAAGAGGACTTACCCTTACTTTATCCCTGTCCTTTCATGCTAATGCGGTCTCCAGTAGCAGGAAACAGATCTCAGACTTTGCCACTGATCTCTAAAAGGGGAGAGGAATGAAAGACATGACTTACCAAAAATAAAGGGGTCATCTGACAACTCAGTAACATGTAATGTAACATGTGGGAAAGGGGAGCAACATCCCTGGCCTGTTAGTGAAATCACCCTTCAGTCTCAGGAATAAAAATCAGAAAAGGGATTTTCTCCCCAAGCCAAGAGTAAAAAATATAGGGAAATAAGGAGCCACTTCCTTTCTAAAATTCAGCCTTATGGAGAAACCTTTCCTATTGACATCCAGTCACAGGGTTCGTTGTTGACTTTCATATAATGGGTTTAGTCCTCTGCAATGCTACCATTGTGTTTAGTCCCCTGTGATGCTATTTAACTAATGTCAGCATCTACCACCCTTGTTGTTGTAGTAGACTTTAAATAAGTCATTGTGAATGCCCAGTGAAAGGTGGATATTATCTGAATCACATATTCATATTGAGATGGTATCTTGTACTGTCAGTTATAACAAGCATGGTGAAGCAGAGAGACGGACCTCACGGAGTTTAAGTATCACTGAATGATGAAGAATCAGTTTGTGGATAGAATTCCCCGGTGGCGGGATATGTTTGTACCATCTTCCCAGCATGGTAGCATGATTTTTGCTTGTGGAAAAGTTTAATTGACTTAAACCTTTTGACCTTTCGAATAGCTCCATGTCCAGTAGTAGATGCTAAGTTGAATGTCTGATTTTTATGGGCTAGTTTTAGTAACGGGAGAGGGAGGGGAAGAATTCCACTGTCAGATGACATTGAAAATGTGTGTGTATTTGAAATTTAAAAGCCCATGGCTAAATAAAATCCAGTAGCTCTTTGTAGGTTAGCCTATGGTATGACTTCATCCATTATCTCATATATTGTCCATGTTCTGCTTTCCTTTCCTCTCAAGGCCAGCAATTCCATGTGCTTAGTAAATTAACTGGTGATTGATATTTGTGATTTTTTTTTAGCCAGTGAAATGCCACAGGTATCAAATGCTAAAGTACCCTACATCAACTCATGACTTTAATTAACAGATGTGTGTACTAATTAAGTATTCATAATTTCTGCATGTATACAAATAAATGTTGATATTCTTTAATTTGCTTCTGAATGTTTAACACAGATCATTAGGACAAAGCATACATAGCTTTACTCATTTGTTTATTTTTTTTAAGTATCAAACTTCCTATCCTGTGTGATAAGATTATTATCGTATGTAGGTATGGGGATCAGGCATGTATGAACATTATTAACATATCTTAAGAGGATTCAAATTAATTAGCTGTATGGTGGATATTTAGGAAAGAGAAAAGAATTGACTGAGCATGCAGTGGAAAAATAATGAATCCTTAATGCTATGCCTCTGCATGCAATTCTATAACTCTGAGCTCCATTCACGAGTACTGTATTACAGAAGTATAACGTTTACTGAATAGACAACTAAAATTTTTCTAATTCACTGCTAGCCAACATGGGGATCAGTACAATCCATATCTGCCTTCAATGTGGGTCCTAATGGTGGCAAATAAAAAGATCCATAGAATGTCACTGCTTTGGATAAGAAAGAACTATAGGTTACATCATGCTTTCCACAGGTTACACAAGCATCCTATGCTGTGTTCTGCTCTGTTTTACCCCAGTGTTTCTACCATTAAATATGCTCTCAAAAATAATTTTTCAATGTCATTTCATTTTCTTTTTGTCGTGGCAGGATATCTGTTTTCTACAATGTTCCTTACACACATAAAATAAAATAAAATTAAAAAAAAGCAATCTAGAATATTTTTCTGACAACATGTTTTGAGAAAATGTTTTGTTTATTTTCATTGCTGACTTGTGAATGGATTTTGTAAAAACACCTGATGTATAATTTTCAGACATGTTTGTGGGAGGGGAAGGAAGTAAGAGTATTTTGCACATGTTGATTTCTTTTGTGAAAAAAAATTGTATGAGGCACATCTTTAAAGTACGATGCAGCACAGCAAAACTGAAGTTACTTAATAATTCTGTAGCCTCCTTATTCCCTGCTGCCATGATTGGAGAATTAAATAATACAACCATAGCGAGGCTCCACAAAAAAATTATCACCAAGAAGAGCACAATGAAGCTGATAAAGCAATTGGCTTATGATTTATTTTTAAATCCTTCTCCACACCCTGCTCCTACTTTTATATGTATTTCCTCCAGAATAATCAGACCTCGCAGAATGATGCTGGCAATTGAGGGCCCAATCCTGCAGTCCTGACACAGGTAAAACACCAACTGAATTAAAAAGAAAGATTTCTCTGAATAAGAATTTGCAAGGGCCCGGTCCAGCCACTCTTATTTGTGTGAATAGTCTTTAGTAATAGACTTCAATGGGATTATTCACTACAGTAATGATTGGTCACATAGGTAAGAGTTACAAAATAATCCAACAGAAAGGCATAGTTTGATCTTATTCTGTTGCTTTTTGATCATACCAAGATTTTGGGAGATGATTTTTGCTCCATTGAGGGCACAATTCATGTTCATTAGTAGTAGTATACAAATACATTAGAAAACAGAAGGCACTCAAATAGATATTTTGAAACTGGACTATTTGTCCAGTGACTTTAATTTGGTAATAAGACAGCAACAATCTTTAATAATGCATTGGCATTTGCTGCACTATAACTTAACATTCTCTTACTTAAAAAAGGCTGAACATACATGCTTTTTATGAGTTAGTAAGTGCAATAAGAGAGAACACATGAATTTGTCAATAGGAACTTTTCAACTGCCATTATTCAGACTTAATTTAGTTGTCTAAATTCCAAAATGCTTGAGGCTAACTGAGTCTAACAATGTTTTTGCTTTAAATGAACAGTATGGTCACCGAATTACAGTCTCCGCTAGTTTTTGGGTGTCACTAATACAGATTAATTGTTTTTATTTCATTTCTGTGAAAGTTCCGTGTGACTTTGAATGTCCCTGTAATCCTTAGTGTCTAGCTTTAGGTTTAGAGTTATGACATTTAACTTAGAGAATGTACCACTGCCATCAGAGAAGGACCAAGCTTTGAAATGTGCCGTATGTTAAACAATGCAAGGCTAAGCAGAAGAATTTTATTCTCATATTTGTCATCCATATCACTTAGTTGCTGTTTTTTGAGTTATTTATTATTGTTAATAACTTACTTTTCCTTACATTCTGTTGTA